GACCACTTAACACTTTGGTTTGAAAGCATTAAAATGCCATCGAATTTGAGGTGCCTGTTGAAATGCATAGGTAAGAAAGTAATCGGGCAGCTCACTTTTCATGTTATGAGGTTTACAGAGGTATATAGCAGCCCTCTCGTGGGGTCGAGAATCAAAGATGAATTTCCACATTGAAATTTGGAACTCCGAGGCCCCATTTTCTCGACACCGCTGTAGCACTCGTTCGCCTATGCACATTTGTACATGTAAGTGCCACTTTGACCTACAAAGAAACGGGGACGAACTAGAGTCCATTCAAAGGTGTTGATGCGAGCGCTGTTCCCCTTGGTCAGTGATGTATGCTCTTTCAAACCGGAACAATGTGAATCTTAACGTAAACAACTGTACACTCTACTTGAATGCATGTTTTATTAACATCTGCTAAACCAGAAGAGGACACAATGATGCATTGACACTTAGTTCTCGGAAATTTGACAGAGGCACCACCCCCAAAAGCTGGTGCTTTTCATAGTCTCTTAAAAGTGAACATTTGACTCACCCATTTATCATCTGCCAAATCATTTGCCTCCACCTACATCACTGGATCCACCCTATAAAAACCGCCGAATAGAAACCACTTAGTGATTCATTACTTCCCAACTGTTCCCCTTTGTGTTTTGTAGTGGCTGCAGTGATAAAGTTCGCATAAGCTATGTGTGTAGAAATATTGTGTAAGTTCAAGAAAATGTTTTATGATTAATTATGTAGGCGCTAACTTCAGTAATTGTGGATGTTGACAGAAAAGCCACATAATGCTTCTGAGGTGGAAAATCCTAGACGCAGTAATGCCGAGAGTAAGATATTTATGAAATAGGGCGGAGCACCGCTACTAAGATAAAGTGCTCGTTCAAAAAAGCTTCCAAAGTTCACGCTTAGAAACGTGAGCAACAAAGGCTGCGACTACAATACTGCGACAAGTTCAAAAGTCACAACAAAGATGAGTTTAAATAAAATACCCACACATCATGAAATGGAAGAAGAAGTTCGCAAAAACAACTTACATTATTTTTAGAAGTCTGTTGCACCTAATAAAGAGCGCATATTTCCGCGAAGTTAATAAAAACACATTTTCTGGCTTTTACAGCACGCGAGTAATTTTACCCAAATTTGTTGTCTAACCTATATTTCTCATTTATGCTTCTAATTAAGACCTGGATATTTTTCAATTTTGCAAATGATGAAAAAGTGCGTTTTATTTGATTTTACCTAGAGAATGTTGCAAAATTTCGGAAATAAAAGCAAAGAGAGTGCAAAATCGGCAGTTTGCTTGCTTCAGCGTGTTTTGAGTCTGACTGTCGCGATTTAAAATCAAAATACCCAGAATCTCATTTATTATTTTCAACTCAACCCACTTACATTTGCACCTATTGCTTCTCAATTCCGCCCTCTGTAGTTTACATTTTTTGTCATTACCCATTGCCCGTCGCATAATTGCCAATGTATGTACATGATGGTTGGTGTGTTTGCAACAATCTAGCGGAATATTCTAAACTTGACTATCCCTGAACAGATGGTTCAAATATTGCACTGTTTGGTAATCCAAGACAGAATGAAAAAAGCAAAGTAGGCCGATGGCAATTGCTCTGAAAAATAGCCTTTGATGAAATGCAACTTTGGTAACCCCAGTTGCAGGAGAACATTGAAGCATTTTACACATTTGTAGGTTTTATATAATTTGCAGGATCATTACCCCAAAGTTACCGATGTGCATCCTTTAGGATAGTAGTGGTAGCTTGGAACGATACATCCACCGCTGTTTCATTTGCAAATCATACTTCACTATGGAATTTCAACGACCATTACTTTTGACCACTGAATATACTGTAACCAAATTTCATTGCTCATACTTGCACATTGCTTCGGCATCATCCACCGAGCCAAAGCCAAACCCGTAGCTTTGCATCTCGTCAGGGATGCGAGCGATATGGTATTGACTAGCGCAGTGCGTAACATCCGAGCGGCGAAAACGGCAGGGGAAGTTTCGAGTCGCGGGACTGGCAGAAGCTGAGGGTGATGTGAAAAGCGCGAGGCAAAGTGACTGCATTTGAAGATGGATGCACAAAATAAGCGGCCAGATTTCCATTTAATCACCGGCAACTCCACCTCTCAAACCAATTTCACAACTTTACCGTCTGAAACAAATATTGAGTGCTCTGATTGCCATACAACTTATTATACTCATTAACTTGATGATAAAATCAGGTTTACTATTTCGCAAGCGTCAATAACTTCGGAACTCGATGACACCTATGCATAGAAATGTGCAACTTGGCAATATTAACTTTAGTTTTCCATTATTTGTGCGGTGGATAGGGAGAATCAAATCATGATAATCTGAAACTTCATTTGTTATACAATTTTTGCAGACTGGTTTCGATTCACTAATGCTTTTAAGGTTTTCGAACTGGTAATAACTCACAGCCTAAAATAACAAATACTTTCCCGTAAACATTTTAATTGTCTGGCTATGTTTTTACGCTTAGTGTTTCTAAAATCTTATTCACATTTTACCAGTTTTACATGCCCATTTCAAAGACTTCTTGGGAAACAACTTAGGTACAATTGGCAGAATTATACGAACACTATGCACTTACGCTTTTTACTCATCGGAGCTACATCGCGATTGTGAGATTTTACGGAATTAATTAGTACTTACTTTAGCTGGGATGATCTCACTCAGGTATAGGCGCTTTAAGTCCTCAAAGATCTGATGATTTCACTTAGACACCACGATCTTGTTTTGTTCAGTATTTCTGCACTACTTTAGCAAGAGTGAAGCCCAATCATTCGGGATGCATTTTCGATTCGCATTATAATTTCAACCAAACAAGATGCATTGGATTTACAACGAGACCACTTTTCCATGTTTTAAAACTACTAATGGTAATGTTAAGGTTTGGCAAATGGACTTATTTAATGGCATAAGCAGTCAGCATGTAAACGATTTTATCACTTCATTCCAGGCTAACGTTTTATAGCACTCATTTTTTATTCGACTGAATAGTTTCCTAAATTATTTGAGCAGGAAGATACATTACTCTGGTATTTATAAAGCTTCGTTTCCATTTACATGCGATTTTTTCCAAGTACTACTGTTTGTGGTATGATAGTAAGAATAATTGTAAAATATGTTGTAAAAAGCATTAAGAGCAGTGCTATAAGTGACTCATTTAAATAACTTACTGACTTGATTTTGGATGCTAGAGAAGGTGAAACTCACATTAGCTATACTGGGCTTGGATGGTTCCGCATTTGAAGACCATAAAATCATTGTGTTGGACGACAGCAGCGGCGGTGACACGCAAACATCATCGGGAGGGAGGACCAGCGAATTGGCTTCGCGAAAGTTTGAGCCTGGCAAGCCAATGAAAACGCACTCGTTTCAGCCCGGAATGTCTTGTGAATACGCATGGGCAGCGCGTGTTTGGGTGCGTGTGCTTATGCCTATGTCCATGCATCAGGTGAAGGTAGAGTATCTTCTCAGTTGGAACACCTTAGCATCTCCTTTGTGTGGCATTGATTTCGTCATCTATTTGGATGCTACTGCGAGGTGTGCGATACATGAAGTACATGTCAAGTTATGAATTAATTTTTAAATTAGGCGGTGCCAATTCAAAGGTTCGTCTCGTTTTATTGATAAACTTCCCCAACCATTCACACATTTTTCGGTCATTACTTGGCTTAATTTATCCAGTTACGTCGACGATCCATTATGAGTACATATTTGTCGTTATTTACTGCCGTTGTTATTGTTGTTTGCTTGGTGCCCCACGTCAACGCGCAGACCAAAGTCAACTTCCCACCAATGGACTTAAAGTGTAAAAGAGAGCACGCGTAAATCACCCTTTTAACTTTAAGTCCACAATAGACGAAGTTTTAATAGATGATGGTTTTTAGTTTATCCAGTTTTGCTGCTCTTACTACTGCAAACTAAATACGATTGTTAGTGCATTGAAACTTCGGCTCAATGTTCATTCGCATTACAAAACTATGCTAAGTTAATTTAAGCAAACATGTTGAAGCTAAGCTGCAATCTTAATTAGCTGGAGAAAAGAGCCAGAGACACTTGAGTTTGTTTCTTATGTGCTTTGCAACAGTTAATTTTACATAAATACATATCCTTCATTACCACTCAAAACCGAACTGAAAATAATTTTTCGTGTTAAACGCTTAGTAAACAAATTAGAGCACTTTAACATTCGCTTGACTCTTCCAACAAATCAGGCTGGTTTTGCACGGGACTGTGGACATTAAACTTGACTATGGAAGTACACCATGAGCAGTATACGATGCTTAATCGTCAAAACCATATATTCAACAACGCGTACCCGTACAAAGCATTTTATACAAGCATTGTTCATATTTTGCATTATTAGCATTTTATTCAGGACCGTTTGGCGCAAGATATGTTCTTTTGCACCCAAATGATGCTATTACAGTTATCACAAGTAGGCAACGTGCAGCTCTATGGTATTCCTAGACAACTCCATTTATTCACAGGGTCCCTGACAAATAGACGCAGCCCTTTTCGGTTAAAAATTATCTTCGCATAAATTGTACTAAGGTGGCCAACCCATGGAATGTTTCTTCCTACGAATGTTCAAGGTTTTAGCCATCTCCCCCCCCCCCCCCTCCCTCTTAAAATCATTCTACCAGTCTTTTAATGATTACTGTGTGTTGGATCTAGAACTAATTCATTCAAAGGGAAATTTTGCGTCATGAACACAGTATTTCATTGGCAAGTTCCCATTGTGAGCCCATCAGCTTCACGGTTACATGCATGTGCCCTACAGATAAAAACAGTCCAATTGTCCAGTATAAGGAGGTTAATCCAAAATAGAATGAGTAGCAGTCCGTTAGAAAGCTAATTTATCCAAATACAAAGTGAAGTGGTGACGAAACCCCATTTGGTGACGTACGGGTGCCACTAAATAACCAAAGCTATTAAAAGATAATAATCAACGAAATAGAGCAACGAACTTCGAGAACCAATTACCTAGCGGTACACAAAAGACATAAATTTTGGAAATATTTTAAATATCTGTATTCGCTTCATCTAGTCATTTACGAACTGGATACAAAATGAAATTAAAAGTCAGTTAAAAATAATTTTGTCAGTAGCTAAAAAGCAAGAAAAAGCGAGGATGCTAAATATAATAATTTTGAGCACAATAACATGACACAAAATTATGCAAAGAGAAAGAATTATCATTACATTATACATAAAAATCTTGAAGCAAAATAGTCATGTAGCGCTTAAGAAGGCCAAATGCTGCAGGTGC